TTTTTAAAGCCCTAAACATGGCCGACAGTGTGACCTCCTGCTGCCCCGGGTCCTTCAGTCGCCTGCTCTCTGAGAGGAGGAGAAGAAGAAAGCTGACGAGGATACACGACTGTTGTTTAAAAATCTTTTATCAGGAGCTTGTGTTCCTTATTAAATGCGGTCTCCTCTTTCATTCATTCATTCGTTCATCCATTCGTTCACTATCCTCGTATTCCGAGCGCCGTGTCGATAAAGCACCGACGAGGAGTCGCTGCCTCCGCTGATCTCTGATGTTTCCACGGTTACAGCACCACTGAGTTTAAAGTTTTGACTTGACAGACTATTTACTTATTGTTTTATTGAATTACATTTCATTCCTACTTTTTAATAGTTTTAATTTACATATCTTCTCCACTGATCGGTTGTTAATGGTTTTTAATTCATATGTATCATTTATTTTGTGTCTGTTTTAATTCGAGTCTAATAAAGTTTGATCTGGTCACATGATGTTAGTGGCTGTAACATTGTGTTTCCACCTGGAAGGAAACGAGCTGTTTAAATAAAGTTTTACTTATTCTGTGTTTGACAGAGCAGAGAGGGAAACTGCTCTCACTGGACCTGAACCAATGAATGGATGAACGGATGGATGGATGGATGGATGAATGGATGAATGAATGAATGGATGGATGGATGGATGGATGGATGGATGGATGGATGGATGAATGGATGAATGGATGAATGGATGGATGGATGAATGAATGGATGATGAATGAATGAATGGATGAATGAATGGATGAATGAATGGATGGATGAATGGATGAATGGATGAATGGATGATGAATGGATGAATGAATGAATGAATGGATGAATAAATGAATGGATGGATGAATGAATGGATGAATGAATGGATGGATGAATGGATGAATGAATGAATGGATGAATGAATGAATGGATGGATGGATGAATGGATGAATGAATGGATGAATGGATGGATGGATGGATGAATGTTTTACTCTGCGAGTCAGTTTGTTGTTGGAGTCCAGGTGAGTTTACCTGTCCTCCTCCGTTGACCTTGTTGGTGAGTTTGACCTTGTTGAAGGTCACGGCCGCCTTCATCCAGTGAGCGCCGAAGTTCGGTGAGTCCGGGTGGATGTAGATGCCGCCGTGGCTCCGCCCCTCGCCGCGTCCCTCCGCCCGCCCAGCCGCCACCCACTCGCCGTTCACAAACTTCCAGCGGCAGCCGTCGGCCGGCACGAAGTCCAGCAGGAAGGAGTACATGGAGCTGGGGTCCAGACCCGAGACGCTGACCTTCAGGACCGGGAACATGCGACTGTGAAGAGACGCCATTAGTTTTCAAAGGTTAGTCCAAGTGTCTGGAGGTCATTTAAGAATCTTCTCAAACACCTTCAGGATGATGACGTGCTCAACAAACCCACTTTCATCTGCTTTTAGCCAAAGACCAAGAAGAATGAAGCAAATTCACCTGGACACAGAAACGTTTGACTGATTAAACCATGAGATTCTTGTTGTTACTGATCTGCTGATTATTTTCTTCATTAGTCTTCACATGTTTTTGTTTAATCTGAGCGTCAGTCCAAACCTCGGAGACTCATTTCAGAAAAGACTGACACAATCAGCTGCTGATTAATTATCTGAATATGGACTAATTGATCTAAACTCAACTGTATAAACTGCGAGGGAGTTAAATCTTTTACAGTGCGTCGTGTTTTTATCTCTCTACCTCCACCTTCTGTGAAAAACACCGACAGTCCCTTTAAGTCTTCCTCCTCGTAACACGGCGCTCAGACAAACACGGCGCTCTCCATCAGTAACAGCAGCTGAAGTGGCGTTCTGCAGGTGTGAATGGAGTGTTTGCCCACGGCAGGGCGCGACTGGTCAACACGCCTCGGCTCGGCAAAAAAAAAAAAAAAAAAAAGACAGCACACAGAGGCGACGTTGACGGCTGATATCGACACTAATGAATAACCCTGGTTAACAGGATCACTGATCTGGACTCACACACACACACACACACACACACACCGTCGTCTCTTCATGCTGTTCCTCCTCCTGTTCACAATATTCAGAACGATTCAGAGACACAACATTAAACTGAGTCCAAACACCGACCACTGCAAACTTTTGACCATCCACCAACTAAACTCTGGACAAGTTTTCATTTTCAATACTGCAGTATTTTCTGTAGATTTAATCTAAATATCTATATAATATGAGACGTATATAATTAATATAATTCATCTCAAACAAGGTGAAACTTAAGTTTTAGTTGCCACAAATTTTGTCAACAAAGACAAACAGCAGCAGGGACAGTGCAGCCTCTGACTGACCAACCGAACTCTGGACAGAGGATTTAAAGTTTCACTCGTCATCAATGCGAGATATTCTGTAGATTCTATCTCCGTGTATTCTGGTGATTTTGGTTAAACACTATAAAACGTCACTTGGCAGTTTTTCATGGTTTCACGGTCTGTTCCCTTTCACATCAAACTTCCTTTAACCACGTGCGTGTCGTTGCCTAACGCTCAGATGGGTCGTTTTGGAGACAGTCGTCGTGGTTACCGTCCATTCTTGGTGACGATCATCTCGTTGGTGATGTGTTGAAACTTCCTCCACAGCTCGGCGTCCTCCAGCGTCACCCTGAGCTCCCTCTCCGTCGGGTCGCCCTTCTCCCGGCCGGCCTGCAGCTCGCTCTCCACCGCGCTCAGCAGCCGTGACATGCAGCGTTCGGCCGAGCCGGGGCTGCACGCCGTCCCGCCACTGCGAACGGTGGCGACGACGGTGCCTCCACCGCCGGTCCGGTCCGCTGAAGACACAGAACCGGACTCCCCGTCCTCCTGGAATCCCTCCACCTTCATCTGGAGACACACAGACACAAAAACAACTATGGAGTTATTTTACCTAAATTCTCCATTGAAAAAAATGTATTAATTTTCAAGAATTTGAGCCTTTACCTAAATTTGGACGCCATTGGTTCATCGTTTGGTCTGAAGACCAAACGATGAACCAATGGCGTCATGGCCCAGTTTCGTTGATATGAAGATTCAGTGACGATGTAACTTTGATTTCCACACCATCAGGCAAATGTTTGGGAAATACAAGTGAAGGAGCACCTGAATGCATCTGACGGCTCTGCCACTGAGGAGGAAGTGAAGCACCGCGGCTGCTGGAGCCGTGGAATGATCATTAAATGATAAATAATGAATAATGCGACTTTTACCTAAATGAAGCTTCAGCACTTTGGCTTTAATCTTCGTAATCGAAAGCTGGCAGTTTGGAAAGGTGGAGTTAGTTTGGAGTCAGAGTTCAAGAAGACATGAATCTGTGGACCATCAGTTAATCATGTTAATTGATCAGGTCCACCAATTTTCAATGTCCCGATAAACTCTTTTAATTTCTACTTCCTGTAAATTTTTTTTCTTTTGCTTTATTCTACAAATATTTCCCCCAAATTCTGCAACTGTGGGATTTTTACTAGAAAATGAATCAAACCTCTTTATAAATGTTGAACTTAAAGGACGAGTTGACAGTTTTCCACATCGCAGCACATGATGAAGAGATCAGTTTACGTCCAGTGTGAACCGAGGTTAAAAACCTGCACGTCGGCAGATGACGATGGTTTTAAGACTTGAACTGTGAACTCGTCCTTCAAGAGCTTTAGTTCAGCTTTACAGCAGCTTGTATAAATGTACATGAAATCTTTTTTTAAATTAATAAACCGAATCATCCTGGAACTAATTTAACTGTTACACAAAAACACATTTCTGTGATAGCAGCTTTAAAACACCTCGACTCAGCTTTAAGCTTCATTTGTAATTAAGCTCTGAATATAATTTAGGCTTTTTATATTTTCAGTTTTACACCTGTTGTTGGATTTGTATTAAAACACATTTATTTCATCACTGAATCTAAAGGTTCTAATCCTGAAAATAATAAATAATTTAGTTTAATGATTTAAAACAAAATGATCTTTAAATGTTAAATAAAGAATGTTTCTCTCGTATTAAGGCCTGTCAGCCAATGGCAGGAACTTCACATCATATATGTGTTTTCTCTCTGAGTGTGAGTGAGAGCTGAAATGTCACATCACACACAGAGTCTGAGCAGGAAGAGCTCACAGGAAAGAGACGGTTCGAACGTTCGCTCGTTATCATTAAGATAAAAAGTGATCTGTGAAGACGTTATTTGGCCTCTGTCTTGTTACGGGGTCGGATGTGGGCCGCCAACATTGTAGAGATTTTGAAGTGGGACATGAGCTGAGGATGAAGCTGCTGCATTAGAGCAACAATATCCAGTTTATTCCTTGTTCCTCACAGCGACACTCAGTCGTGTGTTTGTGTCTCTGTCTGATTCAAACCAACAACCGGAAGATTTAAATTCATTTTACAGCAAAAATAAAACACCTGTGACACTAATATAAATATAAACAAATATATTTATCATATATTTATTATATATTCACCTCCATCATCATGTTCATTCATTTATGTCACGAATGATTCGGTCGCAGCTTCAAACACTTCACTTCACTAACATCATTCACTGAACTCTCGGTTTGAATTCATTGTATTAGTTCATTATTTGGAGTTGAAAATATTTATATTAAATAATAAAATGCAACAAACAATAATAATTATTTGCAGGAACAATAGTGACGTCCAGAACGTACGTTACAGCAGCATGTGTTTAAATCATTCAAATCTTCAGTTACATGATTTTAAAATCATTTTAATTTTTGTTAAATATTTTTCTAATATTTCTAATATTTCTAATATTTCTCAACCTGTTTTGGTGAGGAGAAAATATCTCTCCTACTTCTACTTATCATATTATCAGATATATAAGCAGGTATGTAAATGTAAATATTATACTGTTAGTGTATGTTTTTATTCTAATTAAATAATGACTTAATTACAGTCTCTGCAGGTGGAGGGAGAGGAGGATTTCATTTCTGTGGATGAACTCGGAGGAAACGTTGATTTCATGGTTAAAGACATGAAGAGATAATTATATCAATAATATCAATAATTATTAAATCCATTGAAACAAACAATAAAAACTAAAATAAAAATGTTGCCATAAAACACGAATGACATTTTTATCTGCCCATAAATATAAAAGAAAAGTAAAATGTGTGAATAACAATCAAAGATCTCTGGTGATCAATAAGTAACAGCTGATAAAAATGAACTTACCTGTGACACTCGACACTGAGCTGGACAGGTGAAATAATCCAAAAACTAAACGAGACAAATTGACAATTAAATGGTTAATTGAAAATAACTGTTAATGAATGATGTTAATTAATTACAGTGGGTTGCTGTGTGATGTGAAGCTGCTCAGCTCCAACTGAACATCAGAAACAATCACAGGATAGTCCGACTGTACCTCGCTCTACCGCTCTCTCTCCCCCATTACACACACACACACACACACACACACACTACCTCCCTCTACCACTCTCTCTCCTCTTTCACACACAAAATTTACCTCGCTCGACCACTCGATGCCAGTTTCACTGAAGCTTAATTATCTCTAATTTTGATGAAAAAACTAAGTAAATATTAAGAAACTACAGAGGAATCAGTGGATTAATTCGAAGAGATAATATATTTTAAACTGATTCAGAGGATTAATTATTAATTACACAGAGTAGAAAGAATCAATCTATGATTCAGCATGTACGTCAAGTGATTTCATATCTGCTTATTTCAACTATTTCCACACAAACCTGGACAAATTAAATTAACATCTTTTTCTATTCAGTTGAGTCCATCCGCTCTCTACACTCCACTGCAATCGATTTCTGAGACAAAAACAGAGCTTTTAAACGGTCTCTGGAGAGGATTCATCTAAAATTCACATTCTCAAGTAAAGATGAGGAAAAGGAAGTTTTTTAAATCTGAAAACACTGAACTGAAAAGACGGATTCAGCTCTCTGACGTCGTTCAATCTGAAAAAGCAAACCATGTTTTTTTAGTGTGGAGGAAAAGTGTCCAGAGATGATAGACCTTAAAAAAAACATCAGTTTCAAGTGTGGATGAAGCGTGGAAAGATCTGAAAACGTCGCCCTTTCAGGTTGGTTCAGACGAGGAAATCTGATGCTTTCAGGAACAGGCTGAAAGTCTGGAAACGTCACGTTTTAGTGTGGACGAGGAAAACTGAGCTCTTTATTGAGTCTCTAGAGTGGATCATTTTAAAAACATCGGTCTCAAGCTTCAGTGTGGATGAGAAAATCTGAGTTTTTATGAAAACAGTCTACAGAGTGGACACATCTGGAAACTGCTGTGTTTATGACAAGACAAAGAACCCGGAGCGCCTTGAATCCTCCGTATTTATCAGTTCAGTTGTTGAAAACACGAGCGTGGATTCACCGTTTTCACATGTAATCAGCGTGTTTCAAAATGAGGACGTAGATCTGACTCGGTGATTAACCAACTCAAACAATTAATTAATTTGACTATGATAATAAAAACAAAAACCACCACTGTGCCTCCTGGAGGTTTAAATGTCATACGACAGTGTTGAAGAAAAACACCATCAGCTGTTCAGATCAGCATGTAATGGAGAATAGGTCAAATCCAAACACAGAACATCTGGAAACACACACACAGCGACATACGATATCTGGACTGTGTTGGCTGCCTTAAAATGGAGTGTGTGTGTGTGTGTGTGTGTGTGTGTTTTAATCAGCGGGTGGTGGAGGGTGGAGATTACAGGCTTTAGAGACTTAACAGGCATAAAGAAGACGTTAACGAGGGAGGCAGGTAAACACCAGAAAACCAGGTAACACGCACACACACACGCACACTGAGGACAGAATTCACACGACGTTTAACTATTTAAGAAATGAAACCCTGTTTCAGATCTGATCTGGATTCTTTCAGCTGCAGCATCAGCTCTGCTCCGGACCAGAGGGAGGTGGGAAACAGACATTTTACTTTGTATTAAATGTGAAGATAAATTCATGACTTCATACAAACACTGATGTTAAACACAGACATCAATATTTATTAAAACTGTTCCAGTGAAGACACAGACACACGACAGACAGGAAACACTGAGATGAAATGTTTGTCTGTGTGAATGTTTCTGCTGAAATCACTTGGACCATTAAAACCAGAAGGTAAACTGGGAGTAATGGAGGAGGAGCTGGTGGAGCTAACACCAGGCTGAGAGGCCGGTTCACTGCCCTCTGTGGCTGGAAAGAGCTGCACACTTTAAACTGTCAGACCTGGATCTGATGTTTAAACACACAACAAACACACAGAGACAGAATCTCACACATGAACTGGGATTCATAAAAACAGAAACAGACACACAGACAGGGACTTATAACAATCTGAATAGTACAGAAACAGAAACAGTACATACATAATAATTAACTGTGATGATCATCACTTTCACTGATTGTGTGATACAGCAGCAACTAACGACAGTGATCAATCAGTCTGATCATTATCTACTCAACTTGTCCATTAATTGTTTTATCTATAAAAAGTCAAAGATCTAAGAAGTTACAACAGTAACTGTTTCACATTTCAGCTTCAAAACTGATAAAAACGATTCATCCTTTGTCAAAACAGCCCCTGATTCATTTTCTAATTGCTGCAGCTCTACATTAGGTTTTAGTGTGCACTGCTGCTCCTGTAACCCCGCCCAGCTGTGATGTCACAGCGTACTGAGGTGCACTCTGACATCATCACGCACTTCAGAATAAAAGCACATCTCTACCACATTAAATAATTGCTGAGTTAAAGTATAAAAAATATAAATATTAGGTGAAGAATCAGGAGTTCCTGGTTCCTGAAGGTTCAGATCAGACGAAGACTGAGACTAAACAAACTGAACAGAAGGTAACGTAACGAGAACGAAATGTTTCATATACTTTGTTAACGAATAAAAACTAAACGATGTGAAATGAGTCGAACATGTCGCTGATGAAACAGAAACTGAATCCGATCTGGCTGCAGAATCCAGATCGTGTTCTGGTGTGAACACAGAAACCGAGTCCAGGTAAGAGTCCAGGTGGAAATGACAGAAAACAGGAAGTTGTACAGGTAGTGAGAACTGGTCTCCATGGAAACCAGGTCTCTTTAAGACGTTCAGTGACTCTGAGGTTGAAGTATTTTAAGGCCCATGCTCATTGCTGATTGGATACAAAGCACATAGCATCCTGCGTCCTGATTGGTCAGACAGGTGGGGGGTGAGGCGGGGTGGAGTCTAGACACAGATTGAGAATAGTTTGATGACGGCGTCCCTGAAAGAGAGAGAGGAGAGATTTAACCCTTATTAATCTGTTAGTTTCATTTTAATTAACAAGTAAAACTATAAAACAAAACTCAATAGACTTTTTATTTTGATTAAATATTTCAGTATTTTTTAGTAATAATTTAGTAAATGACAGAAACGCCTGTTCCAACATGTAGAAATTAATAAGAAAAACTATAAATTTATCTCTTTTTTAACAATATTTTAATACTTATGTTCTTACAATGTTAGTTCTGTTTTTTAACTGTTTATATCATTTATATCTTTATATCTTTATTATTTTTTTTCTGCAGCACTGAGCTGCATTTAATTAATAAATCAAGTTGATTAATGTGAACTGCCTCTAAAAGGAACAAATAATCAATAATCAATCTGTTGGACTGCTGATCAGACTGAGAGACAAATATTAAAACTTATATTTGTTGTTTTTTATATTTTACAGAACAAACATTTTGTTAAACGTCGTCATATTAAAGGTGACGGCTGCAGTTTCCCGTCATACAGAGCATCAGTAAAACTAAACAAGTGAATGCAGAGCTTGCAAAGCCTTATGGGAACTGTAGTTGCTGAATACTACAAAAGTAATTGTTGATGAATCTCACATAGATTCTGTAGTTGTTGTTGTGTTGTTTATTTTGTTTGCATTAACTTTTCATACGTTCTCATCTTCATGTTCAGCTTGTGTTTGTGTGTGTGTGTGTGTGTGTGTGTGTGTGTGTGTGTGTGTGTGTGTGTGTGTGTTACCTGGCAAAGGGGATGTATGAAAGGCCGTACCTGTGATCAACAAAAGCAGCAGTTAGACAGGTAAAACAGACAGGCAGGTAAACACTGTGTGAGTGAGTGTGTGTGTGTGTGTGTGTGTGTGTGTGTTATACCAGGTGAAAGCCAGAAACTGAAGGACACAGAACAGCAGAGCGAGACCGTTATTCTTCCACTGCAGAGAGAGAGAGACTGATTCAAAATCTGACACTAGAACAAAATAAAATGTGTTTTTATTCTGCTAAACTTTATCAACAAACCAGTCCCAAGAACCAGACATCAGCTTGAACAGAGAGAAGAAATATTCACTATAAACACAGAACATCCACCTCAAACACCATGAAACTCAACAAGTTTATGTCGATTTTAGTCAAAGTCAACGTTTCCACATCTTTTCTTTTCTTACACAGATCAGTATCAGTAAATCTGTGACACATTCACTTCATCCTGGGAAGAAAAAGTTGTTTGTGCGTTTGTGTTTCTCACCCAGAAAGCAGCACACAGTGTCAACACCAGGCAGACCTGCAGAGACACAGACACACAAACGAGTCCAACAGTTAAAGTTGTAAAAACATCTGAAACTGGACTTTAATTTTCCACGTCATCATTGCTCCTGATCCTGTCAAAGTTCAGCTGGTTTTAAACACAGAAACAGGATTTCTCTCTTTTAAACTTTCACGTTTCAAACACAGTAAAACGTGTCTATAATGTCTGACACAGAAACAAACTGTGACTCTGTTAATGAGTGAATTAGAGTGTAAGTTGTTAGTTGTGTGTAACAATGTGAGAACGTCACTGACACGACCGCTCACGTGTCTCTACGTGTGTGTTCTCACCAACATGATGGCGGTGGCGAGCGCCCTCTCTTTAGCGCACATGGTCCTCAGCTGCCGACACGGACCGACCAGGAACATGGTGCTGAAATGACATCACATTTACCTGCTGAGTTACAGGTGATACTGACGTCAACCACTAGAGAGCAGCAGGTCCTTTCTTTGAAGTCAGACACTGAGATGAACATCATTTATTTTAGAGCTGCTCTCACCTCTACGAAGGGTGCTACACACATAAAGTTTGATTGATCTGACCCAGTCTGACCTGGTTTGAACTAATGTGGACTAGGTCCAGGTCAGACCAGGTCAGACCAGGTGGGTTCTGGTTGGTACCTCGCCAGAGCGCAGATGTTTCCCACGCTGTAGAGGACAGCGAACACAGCGAGACCAAAACCTGGGATCCACAGCATACAGGTGCCCTGAGTACAGAGAGACAGACAGGCTGTTACCATGGAAACAGACGGGAAAGACAGACCACTCTCAATGGGTACAGCTAGACAAGACAGGTGGTTACCATAGAAACAGAGACAGAGACTGAGACACAGACTGTTACCTTAGATTATGACAGCAACACAGGAAGGGCTGTTACTATAGAAACAGACAGAATATTACAGACAGACAGGCTGTTACCATGGATACTAACAAGAAGACAGGCTGTTACCATAGAAACAGACAGGAAATCTGACAGACGAGCTGTAACTGTAGAAACAGACAGGAAATACAGATAGACAGGCTGTTACCATAGAAACAAGCAGAAAAGATATGCAGGCTGTTACCATGGATACAGACAGAAAAGAGATTAAGAGGATGTTACCATAGAAATGGGAAAGACAGATACACACACTGTTGTCATGGACACAGCCAGGCAAAACAGAGAAGTTGTTACCATGGATACATACAGCAAAAACAAGCTGTTACCATGGATAGAGGCAAAAAAGAAAGAGACTGTTTCCATAGAAACCGAGGGAAACAGAGACAGACCGGCTGTCACTATAGAATCAAACAAAACAGACAGACAGGTTGTTACCATGGAAACAGTGCTGTGTAGGAGCATCATTAAGGTGTTCACTCAGACTCACCAGGATGGAGCACAACACACCCAGGATGAAGCAGACCACGAAGCCTTTCATCCTCGTCCCCCAGGCCAGGGTCGACGCCTGATTGGCTCTCTGCACAGATGTCATCATCATCTTATTATCATCATCATCATCATCATCATCATCATCATCATCATCATCATCATCAAAAGCTCCAGAGGTTGTTTATGGTGTGGCAAATAAACAACATAACTCATGTAGAAAACAGACAGAGACAGCAGCAGCTGTGTCTCTACAGGCTGAAACTGAAATGAACAACCAACCAATCAATTAACAACCACATCAACAAACTGACGGCACGCTAAGGAAACAGACTGCGGGAAGGTGGTTTACATGGATCAACCTCCAGATCCAGCAGGTGAGTTCAGGTATAAACCCAGAGGGAGAGAGGCTGCTTCAGGCTAAAGGAAATATTGACAGTTTCATTGCGCGGTTGAGCCGGTTCACATCAGAACAGACATGGAAGAAAAGTTTCTCTCATCACACACTGTAGATCAGACATATTATCACATTCATATCAACTTATTTCTTTTTCTGAATTAACTCAGACTTCTATAAAGAGCAGTGGAAAAAGCTCCTTTCTATACCTGTACTATTTCTAAGGAAGTAGAATAAAAGACAGTGATGTTGAAGCTGCAGCTAAAATGTCTCTTCACACTGTTAAATTCAGTAAGTACGGTTCTGTTTTTTTTGCATTAATGACAAACACAGAAAGCCTGTAACAAAATTAACGAATTAAAATAACAAATATGTTTTTCTTGCTTTAGAAAGAAGCAGTCAAGTAATATTTCATCTTCCTTTATTAGCTCATTTGAAGAGGCTCTGTCATTAATAAAGGATGATATTAATGTAAGCAAAAGACAAATGGCTGAAATAATGATTGTTTCAATGCTGATGAATGTGACCGTTACTTTTAAGATTAATTCATTAATCATTTAGTCTATTCTATGTCCAAAGAGAGTTAACAAACTCTTGATTTTGTGAAATAAACAGTAAAAACCTAAAGATATTCAGTAAATATTGAATTATAAATAGCAAATATTCACATTTTAGAAGCTGATTTATCAGTGTTTTACTTGATAAAACACGATTGCTTCTAATTAACTTTATGTGGATTTATCGACTAATTATTAAAACTCTAATGATGAATATGAGGGTTTAATGGCGTATGTCTGAGGAAATCGCAGTCTAAATACCTTCTCTTTACATGAACGTATCGTTGGTGAAGTTATTGTCACCTCTGTTCGATTTTAACTGTTTAACTGTCTTAATTTAAATCAGATATTCAGGAGCTAACAGGCTAAAAACAACACTGATGCTAGCTGCCGTTCACCTCCAGTATGCCGGTCCCATCCGCGTTGTTTCCATCGTCCTGACCGCTCAGCACCTTCTTTAATTTATCCATCAACCCTCGTTTTACCCGCCGGACACTGGGACAGACACCTGCCGAGGGTCCAGAAGCTTCCCAGGTGTTTTTTAGAGTCAGGTGAGCGAAGTTAAAACTGAAGAGGAGAAGTCAGCGCATCAACAGGTGCAGCACTTCCGCCTGCAATACCGCCTCTGGCCACAAAGAGCCCGACGGAGGCGCTGTTTCCCCCAAAATCCACACCAGGGATTTTCAGGTACTTTTACTTCACCACTGTACAGTACTGCCAGTTTATGGTACTTTATACTTCTTCTCCACAATATATGGTACTTTTTACTGCATTAAATTAATCTGACAGCTATACTTGTACATACTAGTTACTTTTATTTTACTTTTAATTTACAGACACATATGATCATCTTTGAAAGTATGATGTATTATTATAGGGACTGTTCAACTCTTGATTGGTGAACCTCAGGCACTTTAAGGCACATTATATCTTTAGTTGGTTATCATAATTAACATGTTTAGGCACGGACAGGCTATGGGACACCCAACCCTTCCCACATAGAAGCAGTATTAATTAATTAATTACATGCTAATATTATTAATATTATTAAATACGTCTGTTCTTTTACTCAAGTTGAATTTTGAATGAAAAGGATCTGAATAGTTCTTCTCCCGCTGACATTTACAAACATAAGAGCAGAATATTGTTTTTAAGGAACTGGACCTTCAATCTGACAAACTAAACAGCCAGAAAAGCAATGAACAAACAGTTCTTTATGTAGCTGAGATTATTACAAAACACTCACATCATCCCTGTATTTTATTTTTTCTGGCTACATTTATAATTTTATCTAGGAATGGTGTTTTTAATCTTTCCTCAGCTTCCTATCACTCTTGCAATGGGATCATTATAATTATTGTACTTGACTTTTTACTGATGTTTACTGCTCAGTTTTTTTCTTCGACTCATTTACACCTTCCTGACATTTTGAATCTTGAATGCAGTTTTCTACTGTGGTTTTAATTTTGAGTCAAAAATTAGAACATTTTTCCTCCACAATCAAACTTTATTCAAAAATCATCACAACGCTGCTCAACAGTGTCAGTTTATGTTTCTACCCAAAACACTTGTAATGTCACACACTCACACACACATGAGTGAGGTTACTGTGGTTGTACATTAGCTTCACAACTGGCCATTTACTGTATGTAGGTATCTACTGCTGCCCAGTGTACGTTTGTGTTATCTGTCCCATTATATGTCCCAGAGTTCAGATCCATTGACTCCGATGGATTCAGAGAAAATGGATCAGGCTGCTTATTGCTTGTGTTTGGTCCCTTTTAATTTAACCTGACTAATCCACTCTCCTTGTCTCCTCTTCTCACGACTTATCTGAATGTTTCAGTGTGTTTTGATGATGTCACTGTCCTCTCCTTATCATTATATGTCAGTATCCTCTCCCTGTTGGTTTTAGGAGCAGTCACAGTCCACTACAGGAAGTTTTCAGGGACCTTGATGTCACTGGGGGTGTGATGCTGGAAGTTTACTGACGTCAGCCTCCCTGACTGGTGGTCTTAGGGGACTTTGACTCTGGCGGAGCTCCAGTAGACGGGCTGTGGCATGGACACCTGAACATGACACGTAGGACAGGACTGTTTTCTCCACAGCCACTCTTCTATACACTGCAGAGAGGGACGAACGTTTTTAATGCATGTTTAGAATTTTGCAAAACCCTGAATGGAGACAGATTTTTCCATCTGTTTGTGACAATGTGTGTGTGTGTGTGTGTTAGAGTGTGTGTTACCTCTTTGTGGAAGGTGTGTGTGCACTGCAGCTCCCTGGTGCCGCCGGTTCCTCGATTTAAGTCGTTGTGACAGATCAGACACACACGGTCTGCATCGCTCTGCAACGAACACACAGTTTAAACTCTCAGGTTAAAAACACAGGTCAGTTCTCACATCAGTTGTTTTACCCACCAGTGACATGACGTTGCGTCTCCTGAATTGGCCTCTCCTCTCGTGTACTGTTGCCTCTGGGATTGTGGGTATGAGGGAGGGTCTTCGCTCACCGCTGGGAATGGTGACAGGAGCGGCGGCCTCCTGCGGCGAGGACAGGAGGCGGCGGGAGGAGGAGCGTCGCAGCAGGACCCTCGCCGTCACTGGAGCCCGGGTGGACGAGTGGAGTCGAGACAGCTGCATGGCCGAGAGAGTAGTCTGGACGCAGAGAGAGAAAGAGACTAGTTAATGTTGAACCAGTTAAAAGGTTTAACTGGGCTCCACTGTCCTCCCTCACAGTTCACAGTTTATTTATAGAGCACCTTTAAAAACAGCAATGTGCTTTACAGAGAGTTTCCATCACGGGATTATTTGACTGATGATTATAATCAAATAAAAACAAAACACAGACATAAAGAACAGGATGTAAGTGAGTTAATAAAAGCACAGAACAGTCTGAGCTTTCATTCATCAGAAGGTTTGATAAATGGATTTTAAAAACAGAATGGATCACTGATCCAAAAATCCCATCAACACTGGCAAAAATAAACAAGACTATGAGTCTGTAATCCTCATTAGTGGCCTTACGGCCATGCTTCTCTTTAACACCCAAGTGAACCACTTTGAGCCAACGGAGCAGCTCAAAGCTCCATGGAGCTGGAAGCTTGTTGCTAATGCTAACGCAGCTAAAAATGGAGATCTGTGGAGATCCTCTGAAAGCCTGAAGTGAAGACAACAGTGGAGGAGCAGAGCCTCTGTGTTGGTCTTCAGGCTCATTGTGTCTCTGATTAGGAGCTGTGGACCCTCTGAAGACGACCAGCTCCCTAAATAAACTGAGGTTAACTGGTCTGACTGGTCCTTTAACTCTGAAGTTATTCCTCACATGAAGTAGTTTGCAGTAAATCTGCTGCAGGTCAGAACTATATAAGTGGAGTGAGCTGGTGCAGATGGTGGAACTAGTCCATTACTGTCCATCATGACCTCCATGACAATGATCAAAAGCTCCAGAACAGCTAATAATGGAGCCTGTGGTAAGACTGTTTTATCATCTACTACTTCCTGACTTGTAAATACTGTTCACATCAACGTCCAAGTCATACTTACGAGTGGGAGACTGGGATTGTTTTTGAAAACTCAGAGAAGGGTCTTCCTGCGGCCTGTAGCACATCAAGCCACGCCCGCCTTGAGCCACACCCGCCACAAACCACACCCTACTCCTAACCCAGCAGCCAATGCAGCCTCTTTGTATTCCATGAGGTGCTACAGGCCACAGTGTGACCTCACTGAAAGCTCCTGCTGCTGGTTTCTCTCACCTGACACGGCAGCGATGCCCGACGGTCGGTCCTCATTCGGACCGGTGTTTCTAAACTGCTTCTGCTTTCAGCTCTTCCTCCCCCTGCCTCCCCTTCCTCCTCCTCCTCTTCTCCGATTTTCTCCTGCTGTTTGCCCCCTCTGTACTGCAGCATCCAGGTGTTGAAGATCCTAGCATCCTCCTCCTCCTCCTCCTCCTCCTCTTCTTCCTCCTCTTCCTCCTCTTCCTCCTCTGGTCTCAGGGGGCTCGGGTCTTCTGTGTCTGAAAACACCTCAGCCTCTTCTCGGTCTGGATCCATTGTGATGATATGTATATCTGTGGCTAATTAAAGCTAATGATCAGGATATGTGTCACCCTTGCCAACTTATAATGAGGCTAAGTCTAAATGCTAAATTCTCTAATGAGGTACAACCTGGCTAAATTAAGCGAGGCTCCCCTGTAAACTGGCAAAGTTACAACCACAATATATTATAAGCAGGCTGAGTCACCAGCAGTCACAGCCAGACTAGCTAACTTATAACCATGCTGAATCATAAACAAGCTAAATTACTGCTAAAAATAGGTTACGTCTTACTAACAGCTAAATTACCACCAAGATAGGTCCCAACCAGGCTAATTCACAACCAGGCTAATTTACAGCTAGGGAAGATAACATCCACACCAAATGAAAACCAGGGCTAGACAACCAAAGTTAAAATTACAACCAGGCTATATTAGAGCAAGGGTAAAGTTATAGCCCACTAGATTTTACCATGCTAGTCACAACCAGGCAATTTTTTTTATTTGGGCTAAATCTCAGCTAAAATAATCTGCAACCAGGCCAATCTACAGTAAAGATAGATTTCAGCCAAGATAATTTAAAGCTGCAGCCAGGCTAGAGTAAATTATACCTACCTGGATTAAAACCAGACTAAATTACAGCTAGGCAAGATAACATCCACACTACATGAAACCAGGGCTACACAACCTAGGCTAAATCATCACCAGGCTAGGTTAGAAACTAGGCAAAATTACAGTTGGCTAGATTATAACCAGGGTAAGATAGTTGGCAGGCTAACACCCAATAAGGCTGAATTTCAACAGAATTAAATTACAGCCAAGCTAGAATTCACCTGGGTTCATTTATAACCAGGCTACATCCAAGATAAATTTACAGCTACAACAATACGCAACCTGGCTATATTAATGTAAGGCTAAGGTTATAGCCAACTAGGTTATACCATACTCACAACCAGGCTAAATAACAGCTAGGCCGAATATGAAAAGCAGGCTAGGTCCAGGCAGTCCAGAGTAAAATAAATAAATAAAATTAGTTACAGCATAGTTAGTTTAGGAGCAGATTGACAGTTGGCAGCTCCACAGTTTGAAAGGAGGAGGGACAGATGAAGGGATGGATGAAGGAGTGATGGATGGATTATTTGAGCAACAGATCCATAAATCCAGTCTTGACTGTCGATCTCTGCTCCCCACAGATCCATACAAATACAAAATGAAGTCCGTTTTCCAAAATGACCTCCAGCTCTTCCACACATCCACTTTCAGTGCTTCTCTCCTCCTCCTTTATTGTTGTTGTTGTTTTTGGTCGTTTTCTTTCTTGCTGTTTCTCTCTTGCTCTCTGTGCTGCTGTCACACAAACCCTGTTAATCCATTTACTGAACCACAGGAGGAGGAGAGAAGCCAGAGGGAGGGAGATTACACCTGGCTTACTGTATCAAACCAGGTGAGAGGTGAGCTGCAGAGCCAGTCATTTCACTGACTTTAATTCTTTAGGTAACAATTGGGTTAATTGATTAACTCAATGACTGATCTTCTGGATCTTATACAGTATTACTGGTTGCTATTCATTGGTAGTTGTTTCCCA